AAAATACAAGTATTTTAAATTTTGTATAAAAAGTAAACATAATATGTATTAGATTATTTATTTAATCTGTACAGAGAAGAAGATAATGACTTTCTTCAGAATAAAACTTAATGATAATAAGTTTTATAAGTATTTAAAGGCATTGTTTCATACGATTTGTWAACAACATTAATAACATTATATTGTAATCATTAATTATTATGCTATATTTTGATCATAGTATTAGTCTTAGATAGTTAGATTGTAATGTAGTTCATTATAACTTGAAAATATATTTTTCATGTTTTGAAATAGAAATTTTTAACATTTACATTGTCAATAMTGGTGACAACTTGCTAATTAGCATTTACATTTACATTTAGATGTTGTTATTAAATATAGTTAAGTTGTAGAATTTTGTTAAATATAATTTAAAATTTAACTTCTTAAGCAATAAGAATAGGTACCTATATAATGCAAAGATTCTCAAATTGTTAGACAAGTGTAAATTAAAAAAATACTCTSTATGTTTTTGACTTAAAACTGAGATTCCTAATTTTGAAGACGAGAATTTTTGACAACACAAGGGTTCTGTGGACAAAATGTTTGAAAATTGTTGATGTAATAAAATTAATCATAACTATAATTTTGATATTAATGTATAATATCACTAATAATAAATATTACTTATAAACTTTATTTTGACAAACATTTAAGAAAAAGCAAAATATACTAATTCAACAAGTTTAAACCACAGACATAAATTTAAATCTATATTATCTATTTTAAAGAGAATGAATTGTACAGACAAATRTTAAATTAAAATCAAGTGTAATATACTCTATATCTAAATAAACGTTTCGTCCCACATTAATCTCGTCTGGATCTATAAATTCAAACAGATTTAATTATATATCCATTAAAATATAACAACTAACGAAATATGTATAACTGCCGCTTATATTCATTGAAATGACAAAAATTTAATTTAATTACAATACTACTTACATCAAATTAATTTTTCTTGAAAAAATAACAAATACCCAATTATTTCTCTGAGCGGTAGATATTTGATGTATTCGAAAGTGGACCAATSAGTAATGAACAATTTGGAAGACTATCTTGAAAAGTAGGACTGCGATATTCAATATTATTCAAAATGAACACTTTCGAATAAGACCTACTCCCCCCAGGAGAATAGTGTAATCGTCAATACGAATAAAAATTACTATCGTGTAGGCAGTACGCGACTAGTACATAAAATGTTACACTTACACATATGTTTCGCTTATCATTATAGCACTAGCCACAGAGCCAACACGACAACAAAATAATATTATGTCGGAAGACAGCAGCTGCTGCTGCTGCTGCTGTTGCAGACAACGCGTCGTTTCTCTTATCATTAAATTTCTATGGCTTGTTCGACGATTGGACGATGACAGCAACGAAATGATAACACGGAGGTAATTCTTGGCGTCATTATTATTTATTATTCAGACGCCAGCTACCCGATACATAATAACAGTGTTTCCTTATGATTGTGAATCTCAAAACTCAACAGAAACTTTAATCATTTTACTTGTATAAATAGTATTAAAAATATGATTATGAGACCTGTGTAGGTCCTGAGAGTTAAAAAAAAGGGGGACACTGAGTTGAGTTTTATAAATTAAGGTTAATTTTGAGTTAGAGAGTCCAGTGACGGCGTATTTATACCGGATTTTATTTTTATTTTTTTTTGGGGGGGGGATGTTAATTTTAAAAATTTTTTCATGTTGGTATTATTGGATATAACATATCGTACATTCTAATAGACTACTCATTTTTATTCATCTTATTATTTTTAAATTTGAATTTACATGTCACCCTAAGTTTTCTCATAATAAAAAAATAATTCTAAAAGTTTCCGGGGGGGTTTCATCTCCCAAATCCACCCCTCCTCCATGGTATAGTATGCCACTCGGTGAGTCTGTAATATTATTGTATACCACAGTGGCGCCGATCCCTATGTCCAGGTATTGCAGTTGCAATACCTATTAAGGGTGGGTGGGTGTAATAAGCCTACGAAACACACCAGCTAAAATTATTTTAATTTATGAAAGTTATAAATTATTTTATTTATAACATAGCTAACATTATGAATTAGGATAAACCATAAACCTAAACGCTAACAATTGAGT